GATCAAACGACTCACAGGTACTGAAAATCGACGGAACATGCGTCTGAAGTAGTGACTGCGCTCCTGTACACGAAGGGTACCGGAAATTAGTTAACTGTCTAACAGTTACACCGTTGAGTCTTCCGCATAAACATGCTGTCTCAGGGTGAGCTTGACAGCAGTGAAATCAGATGCTCACATATGAATTTAAGCCAGACGTACTGAAAAATCTAGTGTTTGATAAAGTCCGACGAGCTTGGAAAATGACACAAATCCGGTCTTCAACCATAGAGCACAGAAGGGAAGCTGTGGTGCGTACTGAGAGGCCAGACCAGACGCGAACGCCTTATCTGATAGCAGAAGGTAATTAGGTACGTGATCGGACCTCTGAACTCTAAGGTAGAAACATGCGCCCATGAAATGCCTTCGAATCTGACGACACAGCTCACCACTTCACACTCCGTAGGAGGGTAAAAAAGCTACTTGCGCGTTAATCCGTCCCGTCTATCCCACTCCCTCCTTCCACATTCACTGTACTTCGGCGAAGAAATCGAGCGAACTAGATGTGTGAGCTCCGTGGCCCGCAAAGCAAAACAGCCCGCTTACGCGTGGAGTACGCATTGGTGCGCAACCTGTCGTCAATGGAACTGACAACGGATCAGATGCAGATGTTACGGCACGAAACTTCATTCAACACGGCTGACGCCAAACCTGTTAACATGATTGCAGCAGTGGAATCAATCCTTGGTTAAACGGAAGCAAGTGAGGAGACGAAGAGCCTCATTTGACACCAAGTGTCGCCTCTCCTCACGGACCGCAGGCCGCGGGAAGTGCTTTCCAAAGTCGAACACGATGCGCTTACAGAACTCAAGGCCGACAAAGAGCTGGTTATCGTGCCAGCGGACATGGGACGCTCCACGGTTGTACTGGACAGGGCAGACTACCTTCAAAATGCCAAAGGTTTACTGCGGGACCTGCGATTCTACATCACATGTGCAATGAATCCTGTAAAAACGACGATACGCGAAATTAATGCTATGTTGCTGGCCTTGGAGAACTCAGGTGCGATAACATCGACCGACAGACGCATGGCGAGATCCCAAGATACGGCTTTGGCCCGATTCTATGGCCTCCCTAATGTGCACAAAGACGGCGCTCCTGTCAGGCCCATCGTGTAGCTCAAAGGGACTTCAACGTACGGACTGGCTAAGTGGGTGTTCCGGCGTCTCAAGTTCCTGACCGCTAAGTCAGACACCACGGTCTCTTCTTCAGCACAATTCGTGGAGAAACACAAAGAGGTGAGCCTCCACCCAAAGATGTTACGTCCCCTTTTACTTCTATTCCTTGGGACCTGGAGATCGAGACAATCGAAATGCTTCTACAAAGCAAATACAATGAAACGAGGAAACGTCTTTGGCACGCCCGAGTCCTTCTGCCCTGAAGTTCTGTCTCAGGACGTACTTCACGTTCGACGGGACAATCTACAAACAGGTGAAGGGAACGCCAATGGGTCCGCCGATTTCGGGAGTCATCGCCAAAGCGGTCCTGCAACGGTTAGAATCGCTGGTATTCCAACACCACAGACCGAAATTCTGGACCTGGTATGTGGATGCTACCTTTGTCGGCATCGAACGGAATCAGGTGCCGACATTCAAAGGACATCTCAACGGTGCCTCCCCGGACATTCAATTTACGATGGAGGAGGAAGGGAACAACCAGCTGGCCTTCCTGGATGTCCTCGTATGTCGCAAAGATTGTGGTGGAATAAAGACCAAAGCGTTCAGGAAAGCGACAAATACGATGCAAATACTGAACTTCAACAGCAACCATCCAATCACCCCCAAACGCAGTCGTGCAAGGACGTTCTATCGGCGTACTGAAACGCACTGCAGTGAGCCCCATGACAATATTGCCTGACTACAATATCTCCGATGGGTTTTCAAAGCCAATGGCTACCCGCGCAACTTCGTCAGCCGGTGCATACGTAAAAGGGACGAAAGGCCAAACCGCATGGACGCCAAGTTTTGGCAGGTGCTACCGTATGTAGAGAACGTCTCGGAAACTGTCGGCCGCCTTCTCACATCACTTAGGGCTAGGGTTGCACACAGACCGCAGGTAACCATCAGGCGTCAGATAATGAAACCGAAAGATCCGCTGCACGGTAAGAAACGCCTGGAGTCGTTTATGGGATCTGGTGCAGTTTCAGACAAAGCAACTGTGTCGGAGAAACTGGAGGACAGCTCCGAACGCAAATGCCCAAACACGCTGCAGCGGTGCGAAGAAATGACGCCAGCTCTCAAGTCGCGGCTCATTCGACGAAATTCGGCAACACATTCGAATTCGACGAGGCCGAAAGTCTCGCTAGTCCATTAACAAGTGAGACGACCTTCCTCTTCCATACCCGGTGCTGAGGCCTCGCCTAGGCGGAGTAATTAGTCACGTGGAGAGCGCACAGGTGAGCACTGGTCCCGACGCCAGGGTCGGTGGGTCAGATGGGCGAGCAATTATCACACCAACATCCAACACACGTGATGAAATTGCAGCAATTAAAGACGCGAATGTCGGCCATCAAACAGTCATCACACCAATTGCAGCGATCTCTGATGAAGGGAGGGGGGAGACGTAAATATGAATAGGTGTGCGGTAGCATGGCAACTGCGCCCTATAAATACTGCAGCCCCTTGTGCATGAACTACCCGTATCTGCTAGTCTCTGATGATGGGTTCGGGTAGGAATGCGAAACGTCAGGCCAATAAAGCTTTTGTCCCAGCGATGATGTCCATTCCAGTCTCCCTTATCTTTGTCGGTAATAGCATTCTTCCTATATATCATGCGCCGTTGTGCAGCTGCTGGTTGGGCTCGAGAGAGAGCTCTTAAGGCACAACGGAACGAGTTACGTATGAACGATCGGTGAGCGCTCCCTACCATCGATGTCTCCTTCTTCAAGAACGGCCTGCTCCTCCTACGAAGCTGCTTAGAATACCGGCTCGTCCTGACCAACACCTTCTTCCGCCTCACGATGCGAGGGGCCAGCTGGATGCACCCTCGGTCGAGACATTGGCACCTGATGGACTTTGTCCTCGTTCAGAGGCGAGACCGGCGGGACGTGCTGGTACAAAGGCGATTCAGGGCGCTTCAGCGAAGAAATCAACCTCGGTGGCTCACAAAGCCAAACAGCTCGCTTATGCATGTAACACGCACGGGCGGATCCATAAATTTCACTAGAATCTGACTTCAACGGGTAAGGCTAACGCCGGATCACGCATAAGTAAGAATTACTTTGAAAATCTCACTAAGAATTAGTAATTTCAGCTTGGATTCCAGTCCCGAGTTATCTAATCTGCTGGTAACCCTCGAAACCATGATTGATAGCGCTTCATGAACTTAAGAGTGCGTTTGGATGTTGGTAACGCGGATAAGTTCTCAGTCCGGGCTAATCCGACCACCACCTTCTATCTCTTGCACAACAGCGACTCACCCTAGGCAAACAAACTGGAGATGAGGCCTTCAGTCACCGTTTGGCACATGCGACACGCGTTCAGACTTCAGAGGCGTTGAGTAACCACGTCCACATTAATAGGCAGCCAATGTGTTTTCACTTTCGTTCAGAAGAGGGCTGAACCAGACCGTCAGCCAGTAACGATCCAAGCCACGACCTACAGCACGTCACGTTATCTTTAATTGCGTCAGAAGTAGTCTACTGAGGGATGCGTTAAACTGTCATGAGATACGGTATCTCAATGTCGCCATCACCTTTAAATACGGGCTGTCGACTAACCTACCGTAGACCCATATCAAAGGCACAACGGAGATGTACGGTAACAGGCATAGTCTTCGACACGGTCTAAATTCACATTCTACGATGTACACGGGTGCAGGGAAAAGACATAACAGCCTCGCGTCAATCCCAGAAACAATGAAGCTAGTTCCCCTTGACTTGTAAGTCAGTCCGCCACGATTTTCGCAAAAAACGAACGACCAACCAAGGCCGGAAAAAGTTTACCTAGGACATGTACCTTGTCCCTTTGTGGTCAAATGTAAGTGCGAAATAAATGCACATACGCCACCCATGAAGCCGAATTTCACCTCCTCTATATCAGCTGGAAATCGATACCCCGGTCCTTGTCGGTACAGGTCTCTCGGTCGTGTTCCAAACACGCCCATGATATTTCGGTGAGTTCAGATGAAATTGAACTTGGAGGCAACGGATGGAAATAACGACCTGATTTTCCACAGAGGACGTCAACGGGCAAAACCGAGGTGACATGTTCGCAGTTGCAGTAAATACATACATGCAGGGCGGCTGCGAATGCTAAAAGCAGGTCTTCTTGTCTAATTGTAAGCACCACTACTCTGACGAGCGCAAAATAGTAGGGTCATCATGAGCATGAGGATGACACATACGAATTTTTCACAAGCATTGAGATCGTCAGAACATCGCATCTAGCTCGCTGTACTAAAGATTCGCCAACTAAACGCCACTAGACAGTGGGGATGGGCGACAAAACGGTTAAGATTTCTATACTGCAAGTGGGTATTGTATATATAGCTGATTTTGACGTATCATTAGCCATCCATAGTATAAGCCGAGTGGTCTAGAGCGTTTGCACAGGCGTCCGTCGTTCGGCATCCTATATGCAGGTGGAAGGACGGTGCGTTCCAATACTCGACAGTGTCAGTGAATATAACTCAATTAGTATAAAAAAACATTCCTTTGAGAAGCCTGTATGTGGGGCGCCTAAGAAGGCACTGGGGACGGTTGCGAGTAATGATGGGAGCTCAGTAACCGAAAGACAAACGGTTGAACATCGGCGAAGGCATAGATGCAGGGGCGCATTCTCCACTCCTACGGGCACTTCTGTATACGATTTGTGCGGAAGGACAAAAACAAGAACACAGGAAGATAGAGATGGGGAAGGCAGGACAGCAATTAGGCATGATTCAGCCAATAAAAAACTGGCAGAATAAAACTTTGCACGTTGCAAGGAAAGACATGGTAGGAGGCAAATCGAAAGCCGGTGTTAAAAGTCAAAGTCCCAACCGGATTTATCGACTGCATTACTCGGTTCATCTTCGGATTGGGGAAGCGGGCGCAAGACGGTGTCATCAGTGGGTAGCGCGTACGGGATACGTTCGCATTTGGGCTTCTCGACAGGTTCCGTGATGTGATCCACACTTTCTTGCTCTCTGGTCTGAGCAGAGTCTGCTCCCTCCTTCCCTAAAGATGTTCCCTCATATGGGGGAGATTCGTCCCAACCCTCCCAGTCATCCTTCAAGAACATGCTGGCAGAACCGGCCTCCATCGCAGGAATAGACGGTGAGATGGATGTAGCTATTCCCAGACTTTCTTGTCCCGGTGGTGAGACGGAGGTCTCTTGGACGGTCCGCAGAGGATTAGTAGGGACATCAGCTGTCGGATCCATGGTGCTTTCGGAAATGATGACTGGACTCACTTGAGGGTCTTCTTTAGGAAGGCCATGCGGTACATGGGATACGCCGACAGACACGGGGTCATGCTGAACTCTAACAGGAATGGACAAAGTTATGGAAGGTTTCATGTGACTGGGTGAAACTTCTACCCTCTCACCGGAAGATTCGGACTCAGGGCCAGACGGAGTGAGTAAGCTATCTATGGTTTCGTGAAGAGGCACTGCCATCACTCCAGGAGAAAGTTCACTACGTTGATATAGTCGGTTTGCATCGGCTTTTGCTTCGCAAGGAAAAGTAGGTAGACACTCATCACCAGTTGAGACCGGTATAAAATGAGATTTTTCGTTTGCTTGTGGGGAACTTTGACTGTCAGTTGAAGTCGGCAAACGACCCCAGTCGCCGCACTCGCTTTCTACTTCAATGGTGCCGGGCGATTCCGCTGGGCGTCGAAGAGACGGCGTTTTAGGAGTTCTACAAGTTTCGTCGTCAACCTCCGAAGTGCACTTTTTGTTTTCATGCAGTCCATCATCTCCGGTAGTTTGTTCAACCGCAGGAGGATGATTCAAATCATCCCGTCCCAGCAACATCATATTAGCGTCCGGGAGTTTGAAGATACCCTGCGGAGAAGACGGCTCAAGACCTTTCTCACCATCTCGGGGGTCCAGGCCATTCCCAGCAACACCGACGTCCACAGCTAATGGAGAAAAGGAGTCCACCAGTGGGTTAGTGTCACCGGCATACTGATCTACAGGAGTGTACTCAGAGGACTGACCAGTACTGCAGTGCGCCTTCATTTCACAGGCGCCTGAAACCGCCGATGGCAGAAATGCTGTCTCCGGAACATCTCCGGCTATCACTTCGTTCTTGTGGACATCTTCCTCCTTGTGAGTCGCAGGTAAAACATCGCCAGGTGCACAAAGTCGGTCTTCGGGCAACGTATTCAATTCCTTTTTAAGAAGATCGTTGTCAGTGTCCGTGTACGGAGCGCTGGCCATGACTTCCGAGTGAACACACGCCATCTGGTGATCAGAAGAAAGCGATTGTGTGGGTGTCTCTGGTTGCAGCAACTTGTCAGTTTCATCGGTCGGATCAGTAGTACCGCTGATTGATGGTTTTGATGGCGAGAGGAACCCGGTGTCACTTGAAGGGATGGTGGTTGGTGCGTCACTCAACGCCTTAAACTCCTGCGCCTGTATGGAAGCGTCAGGGGTTCCTTGAGCAGGGCTTCGGGGATTGACTGGGTTAGGGAAGAAGCCAGAGCCTGATGTTGAGCTGTCACCGTCAGTTTCGGAGACATCAACACCCAACACTTCCGAGTCCCTGACAACTAGTGGTGAAGCAGACGGTGTAATTTTCTTCGTCTCGGAGAGACAGTCTTGTTCAGAAGGCACACCCGAAAACATTTTCATGGCGGCAGGAGGTAAAGAAACCTCAGATAGGTTCTTCTCAGGTGACGGTGAAGTGGGAAATTTTAACCCGGCAGCAGCACCCAACGATAAAGAAGCCAAGCCTGACGATTGCGCCTGCGCCGAACATGGGCTCACTGATTTAACACCTGTGAACACATCTGAATTGTTGTTACTGTCCACATCCGCAACGATAGGTGCAGCAGACTTCGTAGAAGGTGACGCTGAGCAGGCACTGGGTAAATCCATGTCAGGCAGAGTTGTGGTCGAAGGTGTGAAAGACTGTGAGCAGTGCAAACGAACGTTATCAGTTTCACCATTCCCAGAGTCCTTGTGTATAGCAGGCGCGACAGGATTTTCTTCAGGAGGGCAGGCGGCTAACTGGACAGGTTTTTCGCAATCCTCCTCGGGAGGGAAACATTTCGCGGAAACAGAAAGCGGTGCCCGAGAACCCTCATTCTTAGGTGTCTCAAGCAACTCATTGTGCATTGTGGATGATGGACTAGATGTTTGTACACAGGGTGTTTCAGCCGGTTTATCCGCAAACACAGATTGCTCAGCAAGTGGAGATTTACTCGGGATATGGTCTCTTGATTTTTCGTCCACAAATTCCGAAACGCCGACGTTGACACGATCGCCTACCTCTGTGTTAGGCTTACCCTCCTCAGACGGCAGGGGGGTTGTTGAAGTAACCTCTTTGAGGGTTCCAGTATGCTGGAGGGCATCAGACAGAGGTAAAACATCGGCGTTGAGACACTCTTGAGAAACAGTCAACGACGGCACTTCTGAGTTAGCAACACTGCGCCTCTTTTCCCCTGTATTCGTGACAGTGTCCGCAGAAGAGGACATGGCTTCCGAGGACAGTTTGTGCCAGGTGTCCGTCAGCGGGCGACAAACGCCGCGTCCTAGGGTCTGGATGAGACTATGTGTGGTTGGCAACCCGGTGCTAGAGGGTAGATGTAGTTGCCAGAGGTGGCCCTCCACTTCGCCACCAAAGAGGTGCTGCAAGGCACAAGTCAGCAGATGCGGCACTGCGGAATGGGCGCAGGCGGCAGCCAGATTGGCGGCCTTGGTGCGACATGTACCAACCAGATGTTGGTCTGCTCTGGCATGGTAGACGCTGACAATTGCTTCACAGGCCAGGCGAAGGTTGCGCAACAGGGCGACCATCACTCTACCAACGGGAGGAATGATGAATCGATAAAACACAGTAAATCCGACGGTCAGAAAAATGTACAGTGGACAGAAATGGCGACGCAAATAATACTATACATATAGGCAACGTCGTCACTTTCATCGCCGCCATTGGCCTTCTACTTCTTTTGCTTCGTCCTCACTATCACACCGTCACCATCAACGTTATAAAAAATTATGCTAAGAGAACGGGGTCGAAGTTACTTTCTCAAGGTGTTACCTCTTCTAACCTGGAGTTGATGACAAAAAGTGTAGTCCAAAAATCTAGTCTGAAATAAAGTGATGCTTCATCAGGGAGTTCTAATCAGAGCTTAAAAAGCTACCAAAATACTGCAGCTTTTTAAATGGGTATGCACTTTTTCCAAGGACCACTTTGGAGGTTGATTCAGTCTAATCCTCGATTGTCTGTTCTGCACAACCCAAGCGATGAGACTGAAGCTGCTTTACTTAGTTGAATACTGATGTAAAAAATCAACTGAATGCTCTGTTGGGATCCGGAAATTACGGTTTGCAAACTTTTCTAGAGGTGGAGCACTAGTTTCCATCCAATAAGGTCAGATGCTAGTACGGGATTATCCTAACAACAATTAGAACATATCGAATTGTCAATATCAGGCAGGTTTCCAGACAAATTACTCTATTTTAGTTAGTAGCGCCTAGTAGGCGGTATGAGGGAAATCTGCGTCTATCTGAGCTGATACAAAAATCTAATACACAACTTTTCTATCCGTCATGACGGATCGACCCTTATAAAAAAGACCTCGAAGAGCAAGACGTCCTGTCGAGTTGTATTCACCGGTATCAGCGTTGGAACTAAACAAAGAACGTGCAAACACTGAAGTGATACATCAGGGCACGTTCTGGCTGGTTATGCCGTTTGGATACTAGCTCCGAAAGGGGAAATCAGGGTGGACAATAATTAATATCAGATTCCAAACTTAAAATTATGATGTTAGCTTACCACAAACAGGTCAATCATGTTGTCAAGGTTGGTGGTGTCTTAGCATATGCGCGCACACTACTCTGGCATGTGTCAGTTATAAGTGCGAATTAATAGCAGACTCGTGATAATAACTGTTTGTATAATACAGGCAGTTTGAAAAACTAGAAAAATCAAACTGTGGGCTTATTACACCACAGCGTTTCCGGACTTTAAAAAATTCTGCTACAGTAAATGGTCTGAAAAGCAGCAACAATAGGCACTGACCCCTGTTTCAGTCCCACTGGACAGCAAATTCTCAGCCCATTCATGGCCGTGAGTAGTCGGTTACAAAAGATGGCAAGTGGAGGATACCGAAGAATAGTGACTGGTGGTTGAACTGAGCCCGATGCATCGGCCGTGGGGTCATTCTGCGCTTCCAAATTCTCGCAACCTTCAAGCTCCCAGGGCCATTGCTCAAGTGTTGCATAGAATTCCGTCAGTGCATTAGAAAGCAGGGCCTAAAAAGAGGAAGCGGGTATTAAGGAAAGTTGAGAGCATTAGGAAGACAGGCGGTGTGAGACGGAAAAAGCTCAACGTAGGAATACACCTCACGCCATGCAGTAGGAGAGACGAAGCATTCAAAGCGTGATGAAACTCGCTTTCAGATACTGCGACGGACCAAAGACGTCTAGCTCCCAGACAGCAGGCTCAGGAGTACGTACAGGAACCATTTATAGGTACAGCGACCGAGTAGAGATCACAAATACCTATTATGTGCTAATCTTTGTTGGAAGGATGATTAAAGCAGTTAAACTGACTTCATTCAAAATGGCCTTGGTCAAAAAACCGACAATATATGAATAAGCAGATAGGGCGGTTGGTACACCACGCTAGAGCAAAAATTAATGGCATTAACCTAATGAGAAAGTTAGTTCAACGTGAATTGTGAAGATTTGAAATCTCACGAAAAACAGCACATGGAGAAACTTCTCATCGCCACCCAAAGTCGTGATATTCGACAACAACACAGTGGGCGGGTGTAAAGGCCAGACAAATGAAACTGACAAAAGGTCCCTTCTAGGTAACTACCGAGTTGTGGAAGGAGTTAGTGAATTGATTTCAAAAGCGTGTGTTTAGTAGGCCATCGTTTTTCCTGAGTCCTGGATAAACATGCGCCTAGGAACAGAGAAGGGAGAGACTGAAGGTGGCGACGATAGCGGTAATACGATAAATATCGGTCGGAATATTCGGATAGAATCCATGGGGTGGCCGAGTCGATAGGAGTGTTGAGAGAATTGTCTGAACTCATTCCTCTAGGATTTCGGTCTTGAGGGTAAATACGCGTGTCGCATGATACAAATGGAGAAAAATGGGGGCATCTGATCACATTTTTCCATAGCGCCTCATAGAACGCTGTCTGATATCAGTCTGAACAGGCAATTAATTGCAATGAAAGACGATACATTCTGTTCTGCCGCATTCAACGACTTTCACGCCAGCAGTAAAAAGGAGGGAGGTCGAGGAGCGGTAGACCGGAGTTTCTTACTAAACGGCAGGGTGTGCGGAGAGACGGTTGGAAGGAGAGTAACTGAAAGACGGTGAAGACCGTGTGCCAACTAGAGGGCGCCATATAGGAGACACCGAACCGTCATATCGACCCAATGCCTTATACACTCTCCAAGGAATTTGGTAATATGAAACCGACTTGATCTATTCTCCCTCCCATGAAGTAGGATAAATGAGATCAGTTCACCTCTCAAAAGATGGATCCCGGTTAGACACGGGAGAAAAGACCCTCGTACTACAGGTTGTCTTCCGCTAAATTCAAGGTGGGTACTTATTCCCGCATCTGATCTTCAACTCTAACAATAACCTCCTCTGGAGTATAACGTAAGGCCCTTTCTACTACGTGCTCTACCTGGATCCCAAAAGATCTCTTTGATCGCTCTCGCCAGGTCACCTTCATATGGTCTCTAATTGACTCGTATAGGGAAGCGTCCTAGTCCTTAGTCGAAGGGTTTTCAAGTCATCCAAGACGAGCCCGCAAGTCAGATAGCATCCGATTTCTCGCCTATTTCAATAAAACTTGCTAAAAAGGAATGCACTGGTATTCACAACTAGCCATTTTAGACTTTTAACCCTTAGAGTGCATGGAATGTGCATCTTTGGAGATACATAACTGGAAGTCTTCTTACTATGCAGCACGGCCGGTTTTGTATAAAATAACTGTAATTTCTTCAAATCCAGTCATAAATACTGCGAGATTTTGTCCACCTATTAAACCAGGGAGGCGTCTTGACAGATATGAATGCACAGCGGAAGGACGGCAGAGATTGCGGGTAGATTGATACAGCACCGTTCCAGGCTTATTCTGCCTTCATTCAGCCAATCATAACCCTGAACACCAGATAGGACAAGAAACACAAAAATGCGTTCGTACACGGTGCGGATGGGGTTTGCCTAACCATTTGCAGAAAAACCGGTTACTTCGGCGGTATTCGAACCCGAGACAGAAAAGGCAAGGCTTTCACCACTTGAGCTACTAGGCTCTGACAGCGAGCCTTGGGTAACTTGGCCCAAATGTAAAAAACTCGTGGTTGCAAATGTTCTTGACTCCTATGTGGCTGTTGATGGTGGGATGTGTGCATAGAAGGCAAGCGAAAAGTGTCAGGCCTTGACAACAGTTGTCTAAAAAACATCCTTCGCGTGAAGTATACTGACTTCGTCTCTAATGAGGAAGACCGCACTCGATTCACCAACGCGAAAACATATCGAGTCATGCAAAAAGAGCAACTGACTTAGATTGGGCATGCTATTCACTGTGCGCTCCATGAGTTCAGCGTTGTTAATCTTGGCCCCGTTCCGCTGCGTACATGGAAGTGCCGACAAAGTGAGCTAAAAACCTGATCCAATTTGGAGATGGTTCTTAGTCTTTTAGTATTCAGTCATTATCACAGGAGAAGGGGTAGACTTAGCTCTCCAGATTACTGGCGCAGTCCACCAGGCGTGATTAAGTACAATTTTCAACATCATAGAGTCCAGCTAGGTCAGGCATCATCGCAGACGTGCCAAGGACAAGAAGGTACAAGCCACTGAGCTGCTGAAACCAAGCGGTCCAGTTGGCGGGGTTTTCGTCTAATGCATTCCTATGTAAATTATGCAACCATCTTAGTTTACATGCACATACTGTACTGGCTGTCGATGTTGGTGTTGGGCAGGAAATTTCTCCTTTCGGTGTTATTGGCAGACCCACGCAGAGCGCACCTCCAACTGCAGTGACCGGTTAAACCGTGATGCTCCCAACAACGGCTGTGTGAGAGGGCTTTGTGGAGGGAGTGTTCCTGTGATTCCCGGATTAGATGGCACAGGTATTTCTGTCACTCAAGTCGACTGCGCCGTTGCTGTGTTAGATCCAAACGAGAGTCACATGAACTTACTGCGTGCGGTGTTAGGACCCCGCCGAGTCCGTGGGTGCTTAATGCATACATCCATGTGGTACGACCTAGACGGGGGACCATGTCACGTTGGTCATTGTTACCAATGGTATCAGCGGCAGGCCTGGAGCCTCGGATGCACAAGTACACGCAAAGGTGAGGGCGATATTGAGATACCATATCTCATGACAGTTTAATGCATCCCTCAGTAGACTGCTTCTGACGCAATTCAAGCTAACATTACACGCTGTAAGTCGTGGCTTGGACAGTTACTGACTGACGGTCTGGCTCAGTCCTCTTCCGAACGAGAGTAAAAACACAAGGGCTGTCTATTAATGTGGACGTGGTGACCCCAATCACCTCTGTAGAGTCTGAGCGCTAACCTTACCCTTTGAAGTCAGATTTTTGTGAAGTTTATGGATCCGCCCGTGCGTGGCACATGCGTAAGCGAGCTGTTTGGCTGTCTTTCGGTTCTATTATCTGATGCCTAATGGTTGCCTCCGGTCTGCATGGTGCGTGAAGGCGGCCGACGGTCCCCGAAACGTTCTTGGCATATGGAAGCGCTCGCCAAAATTTGGAGTTCGTGCGAAAAATACGACGCAAGTACTAAACTTCAACAGCAACCAACTAATCAGCCACAAACGCAGCTGTGTAAGGACACTCTATCGGCGTGTTGAAAAGCACTGCAATGAGTCGGAAGACAAGATTGCCGAACTACAATACCTTCGATGGGTCTCCAAAGCCAATGGCTACCCGCGCAACTTCATCAGCCGGTGCATACGCAACAGGTCGAAAGGCTAAATCCCACGGAACCCGTATGTCAAGAACGTTTCAGAAGCCGTCGGCCGCCTTCTCACACCACTTGGGGTAGGAGTTCCACACAGAAGAGGGACAACCATCAGGCGTCAGATGATAAAACGATTAGCGACGCGAATGTCAGCCATCACACCAAGTGCAACAGTCCCTAATGAGGAGGGGAGACGTGAATTTTCATAGGTGTACGATAGCATGACGACTGCATTCTCTAAATACTTCAGCCCCTTGTGTATGAACCACCCGTATCTGCTTTTGTCTCTGATGATGGGTTCGAGCAGGAATTCGAAACGCCAAGCGAATAAAGTTCTTGTTCCAGAGGTCATGTGTCCTTCTTCACGGCAATTCCATTGTTAACCAGGTGACTGGTAACTAGGCCGACGGGGAGGTCCCCTCGTGTTGTGGTCCCCGTCGTCCTGTTAACGCCTGCCAAAGAAGCGCAACATTTCGGAGTCAACACAGATTCCTTCAACTATGCTTTTTGCATCAATAGTTGTTGCAACTCAGGCAAACGAGACCGAATTTAGAGGCCAAATGTAAGGAAAACCCGGTCAGGAAAAAAGAGGATTTTATGAATTTCTGACTTCGTGGCAAATTGACGAGTTATGAGGTATGCCCTGCCCGCAGACACCCACGGCGCCTTCTTAAGGTCAAAAGGTCAACGAAGGATTAGGTGCGATAGCAGAAGATACAGGCATTGTGCGGCCGAGGTCACGCATTTGAAGTCTGCATACTAAAGGATTCAAATCGCACTGTTTATGCAGAAAGTTGCGGGCAGCGAGTAGAGTCAGATGCGTGTGGTCTGTTAGACCAAAGTACCAATGCTAATTAACAACAGCGGACAAATACAACTTTAGCAGAAGTGCAGTGCAAGAAAGGGTCCTAATGGGACCTAAATCAGTCTAAATGAAGGGCAAAATAAGTTTCGAATGGTTTTTTAGACTAGACAAGGGCACACCACTATCGTAAAGTAGTCCAGCAAAATTGAAGTTTGGATCGGAAGTAGTTATCTAAGTGATATTTAGCGCAGAATGTCCTAATGGCAAGAGTAGGCAAACCTTAATGAGATATTCCGGCTTATCGGTGATGCTATCCTAGATACCTAAACAATCATGCTGACTTGAACCAATAGTATATGAATCACCAGACGTTTAACTACAAAGCGTGAAGACAGCATTTGCAAATCGAGACGACTCACCTCGAAGTATTTTAGAATAGCTTTGGAAAAGAGGGTAGCCAGATGAGCTCTAAAGTCACAGCCTATTCTTGCAAAAGACCGTCCAAAGTAGAGGCTCTGCGTAAGCAAGGAATGTATGCGCTGGAAAACTGAGGTTACAGACTCAGGTGTCACAGCATAGGATAGTGCATCGTCTGTTGTGCTGGAGCCTGGGGTAGTGTCCTTATTTGTCATAATGAAGGCCAACTGGTCAGTAACTTCGGCGACGGAGAGGCTGGGCAGCCGGAGGATCCTTTCAAGGTCGCCGGAGAGACCATCGAGGAAGGCAGAAACTTGAGTCACCAACCATGCATGGAAAGGGCTCGATGGCTTGGGGCAGACGAGCCCATCTAAGACGGAGCCCAGTGGCAGGGTGAAGCCGGGCAGATCCTCCAGACTAAGGGGTGAGATACTGGAAAGTAGTGTATGCGAGCTCAGTTCGCCACCGTTGCTACCGCCAAGTTTGCTACCCGAGAGACCCAAACTCCTGGAAAAGCCCTCCTCATCTGCGAAGACAGCCCTGAAGCGGAGATAACGGAATTCGGCTAGTATACATTTGCCCTCAGCAGGTACGTAGAAGATGCATTTTGGGTGGGGACGGCATCAACTGCAAAGTGCTAACGGTGAGAAAGCGGACCACGGAAGTCATTTTCGATTTGAGTGCTGGTTGCAGTCGGAAAGTTACGTCTTGCTTAGGCCATGGAGACAAAGGAACCGTGTGGCCCCCCAATACTTCCTGGTCAAGTTGTGGCTTTGAGTACAACGAGCAAAATGCATACTTACCTGTACTGAGTTATTATGTCAAAGAGATGCACACGAGTAACTTCTATGCGGCGCATGGCCAATATATACGATTCTTGTTCCACTCTGCGTGAGCCACCAAGACTGACATCAAGTCCAGGGTAGTTGTGTCCCAAAGTGTCCACAGTGGAGCCAGTCATAGGCCTGGAAAGGGCAGCCGACAGTTGTTGGCGCAGACAGGCGCCTCTAGCTTGGAGGAAATTGAGACGCAACTCTTGCTCCGAAAAGGCTCCCAGCTGGCGCAAGTGTACGACGATCTAACGTTGGGGAGGAAATTGCAAAGGCCAAGTGGACTGAGGCATCGGCGTGAAAAAGCCTATCAGTGGTTCTATTCAACAAGAAAACTTCATAAAAGCATAATAATCATGGCTGTATTGAATATTTTCAAGAAATTCGAATGCACCAAAAGTGAGCGCATATGACTGCGCGATGTGATCACCGAAGACCCCTGAAATGCGCCTGGGTTTCTGTCTCTTAAGTAAGATGGCAATTGCATTAACTGTCTTCGGTCATACTTGCTCTTATTTTGCAGGAGCTGGTGACTGAGAGCACAAAAGTTTACACGAGACAACTGAGGGGAAATGCTCATAACTGCTCTTTTTCCCGGTTTCTGTGAGCCTATGGGAAATCAATCGAGGGGAGAAACCACATTTATCACGGGTTCAGCAACCGAAGCCTGCAAATGACTGACACAATAGCACGTATATGTGAAAACGTGGGTTAAAGAGGAGCCATTAACTGACGCGCATCAGACAAAGAGATCAGCTCCTATTGGCACAGCGAATGACGCAGGCTGGTTTTTGATTATCAAATCTGAAACGAAAACTAGTATATTTTATTGAGAGACAGGAAGAGAAGGGAAGTTACACTAGGCATTTTGTGTCTACTTGTAGCCATCAGCCGGGCATACTTAAACCACAGGCCCTGGGTCAGACGAAATCCCCATATTCCACCTACGATTAGGACACATTAGTGAATATCACCTCCATGTGACTTTGAATGTCTTTGATAGTTGCCAACAGCGTACAGGTGCTCGGCCCAACTGATAGACCGATAGACCCGGGTTCACACCAGGTCTCCCAGGGCCGGAGGTTGGCGCATAGACTGTTGCCGAAAGCAAATTAATGGGACATGATTATTTCAATGCCCCCGGTCGTAACAGTTAATATCTCTCGATTACGGATTACTAGTTCTTAGGCGACCGCCTGAGGGGGCTCGTGAGTGGAGCTCCAAGGTAAAAGGCCATCGGCAATGTTCTGTCCTACAACCAGGACACGTCGACGAACGCCACTCCAATGTGAAATAAACACGTTTTAGAGCATAGAGAGACAAGCGGTTCGAATCAATTTGCTGAAAACATGCGGATGTGGGCTATAGGCATTAAGACTTGACAAAATAGGAATCAATACTGGCAGCTGCTGTACACTACAGACAACTTTACACAAGGTAAACTCAGAATGAATTACGTGAGCCTGGTAGTCATCTGGTGGATTCTAGGTGAATTACTTAGGAAATCCTACTTGGGCAGTCAACTTACCGTACCAGATTTGGTGGATTCCAGACGTTGCAGTAGGTAGGGCGGGTAACTTGACCCAAATGTGATTAAACTAGAGCCGTCCGGCGAGGCCTCGTAGCTCAAATGGTTAGAGCGTTGGCTGTGCTAAAGCCTTCCCCTTACTGCGTGGGTTCGAATCCCACTAAGGCGCCGAGTTTTTCACAGTTGGGTCAATATGAAAGACTCGGATACGGCATGTAAGTGTTGGGCGTGATGCAATCAATACTGATTGTCATAACGCCGTCGGCGAGGAAAAATTGTCAGAAATAGGAGCGGAGAAAGATGATAAAAGCATTCAGCGAGCACGGAGATTAATGCTTACTTTAAGACAAACGGGCAGAGTGATTGGCTCCCGTAACTGCTTGCAGAGTTGAAAAAATAATTGACCACTGATTTGTTCGGTTTGAGCCGCGACAATTCTGACAACGGGCACCGACTGGCCGTGCTTCTTACAAATGCGTTTGACGTGAGCAAGAATATTCAGGGCGTCTTCATAGTAGCCATTCTGCACACAAGTTTCCATTAATTGTGGCAATTCAAGGAATTCGAGGAGCTGCCAGGAAAAGAACACAATGTGTTTTAGTGGATATATAAAAGCCGGGAATCCGCAAAAGACCGACTCTGAGCATAGAATCATATTTTGGTTTGCAAAGTAGTTTAGCAGCATATAGAAATGAAATCGATGTGGGAATGAATAGTTGGCAAGTTTGGATAGACAGGTACACATGACCAAATGAAAATATTTCAACCTCATAACTGTCGTTCGGCGTCATTTATAACATTCAAAGTTCTTTTTTTCGACGCTCAGGTTAGTCAGTGTATCTGAAGGAAATAGACTTACGCTCTAGAATTCCCTAACTGTCATATAGAAAGTGGAAAAATAAGCAAAAAATAAGAGGAAATTACAGCGCCAAGTGAAGAGACCTAGGTTAACCCAAGTACATCCGTTTCTAAGGTTACGTGGTCACATGGTCCATTGCATCCTTCTCCATCCCCGACTTTCCGGATTGGCCGTCTTGTGATCATGGTATCATAGTGCAGTCCATCTTGAAACATTGTTATTCAGAAAGAAGTTAAACGGACAGTGTCACATAGGTCTTACAACAGGCTTTAACCCTTTGCGGACAACGTATTACAGTTATGCGTCGCATTCTGAATGTGATTTTTTCGCGGGCATTGATCGTTTCTGAAGAGGATGCGAGATCTGTTCTGCCAACCAAATGGCGAAAGATGAATAACGGGTTCACAAATATCATCAGGTTTATGGAAGGTTTTAAACTGCAGCAAGGTTTACATTGCTCAAGGTGGCATACGCAAAGTATTCTTAAGTTCATGCTCATAATACGATCTTCTCGACATATAGGAAAGCCGGACTGTGCGTTGACCGATGACCATGACTTAAACGATGAAAAAAATACTAACGGCTCGAATAAGGTTAATTTCGGTGCTATTGTGAGCATTACAAACGATCCCGATGCATTGTGGGAATATTTGTAGCTTAAGCTTCCATCTCAGCTAGAGCACAGTGGTAAACTCAATTTGGGAGACGATCGGAAAAGCAAAAATAAGATGATAGACAAATAATTAAGATAACGTAAGCGTCCCATGGTCCTCGGGCGTATACCATTTCTGGCATTCAAAACTGGCTCGATGGCTGAATCCTATTTACCACCCTAATTGACCCTGATATAGGACCGCCTCGTCATACGCCGCAGCAGACCAAGTTTGCATACGCGCATGACTCACCACGGTGGAGGACCGTCAGACGAGTGTCAGGACAAACATACGAAACCATTTGTGTTAGCTGTCGTGTATTCGTGATTAGACTGTCGGAAAGTCATGGGTCAACATGTTGCACCACTATTTGGCTGCACAAGGTCTTTTGATCACTTGACGCCAAACAAAAGTGGATTTGCGCGTCTTCGATCCGGACAGTGAAAATTGTGGCCCGTATGTTAAGTGGTCGGGCAAAATCAACGAAAACCCCCGAAATTCACGCCCTGGCGGCACAGGATTTACATCCTCTATACAACTTGCCAGAAGAATATTTGCTTGTCGATAGTAATGCTTGGAGGTTGTATAGCAACTATGTAACTCAATGGAGCGTGGCCCAAGAGACTAAAAAAGAACGGGTCCTCAGCGAAAGGTAGAAAAACCTGAAAAGAGATAGTTCAGCTACATCGGGGTCAGGGTCATGTCGGAACGCCGCTTCAACGACCTTATTTTAGGACGGCACATGCGCGTTGCGTCTGGTCTTGGAGCTACATAATCGCCGAAACGCCACTCCTACATGACATCAAATACCCACAACAAGGCGTGGGTCAATGTCTCGAATGAAAAGGCATTTGGTACAAATACTCGATGATCAACTGGCCGGGGTGCAAGCCCTGTCTTCTAGTTCTGGAGAAATGAATGACTGACGAATGACAAATGAGCCATGAATTAATATAACAGTCTTCCCTGTCATTGCAGGTACTTCTTCAACCCTACTGATTGCTCGTGTATATGCGACCGCTCACAAGACTCTTCTAATAATCTCAGACTAAGCATTTGACTCGGTCTAACGGTCTCTTTAGACAGTTTAATGCAGTGCTGTCAGAAAAGTTCGATTCAATTAAGTCCGTTATGTAGAGGAACGCAGATTGGGAAGCTGAAACTGCTCCTGAGGGATTTAGCTAGAATCGTAGAAGCAGATTCTTTACCTCATAAAATAAAGGTAATAGATGTCATAAGTGACCGTGTTCAACTGCAAATCCGTGTCCAAACACTGTTTCAAGATAAAATCGCGAAGGAGGTTAACCAAGGTGACCACTTGCTGGTGTAGGATTTACCGGTCCAAATCGGAGTACTGCTGCTCTATCGAAAATGAGTCGTCCAGTCAGAAAGCTGAAAATACAGTTAGATAATGACTTTCAGACACGACAGGACAGCTGACAAAGTCGGATTTCGAGCACCGTTTAATGAGTATTCGGCAGCAGATTGAGAACGGGCACAAGCCAATGAATACTTGCAAACGTGAATAGGGAAAACCGCATTTGCCGGCGCCGAAATTAAAATGATCTGCTCTCGGTTGAGACCGCTTCGGCCACAACTTTGGCAAAAACGCGATCAAATGGCAAAGTAAAATCACGGGTAATCACAACTGAGGATCATGACTCAATTCCCCAAGTATGACATACTTCAGAAATGTCATATGGGACTTGAGTTTCGATCAAAATAGGATGTCCGACAGACAACAAAATAGCACGTACTGACAGAATATTCGGATAATGAAACGCTCTCTTTCAGATCAGTGGCTTCGAAGGTTTGCAGTATTCATGCCAGGATGTGGGTGCGATAAGCATCATCAGGCCTCTTAAGGTTTGTCAGTGAAGTCACTTTGGACGCACAACCTGACTGGAAAATACTGTACATCAGATTCAAAAGTGGTGACTGTACGGCCGTCGTCGACGAGGACGCAGAAGTAGACGGTCCATGAATGACCAACTAGAGAAAACCGGAACTGTTGGCCCTTAAGACCTTTTCACAGGTCAGTGCTTGCTGAGGAAAGACGATGCAGGAGCAATCGCCAAAATATGTCAGTAACGGTATTTAACTTGCTATAACTGACCAAGAACCGCCGAAGTATGCAGTGGGAACAAAACAGGTATGCGAGATAGGAGTGGGCTCCAAAACCTGCATTATAGGTGGAACAAACCATACCTAAAAGGTACCTGTGTATGATTCTGAGCCAACCTCGCATTTCTTCGAAAGTCCAGTCCGTAGTTGTCTGTCCTTCGGGAAATAGCCTGGGCCGTCGAAGATGCCTGCGACACTAAATCCAGCAGTAAATCGTTGGACGTGGAAATCGACTCGAATTCCCTATGCACCTCACGACTGGTGCTCGCGTTGGACAAAAATATAGGATAGTTTTCAACGGCAAGCTTTTCGGTCTGGTGACGAAGACTTTCTTCCTCGGCTTGTATACGAGAGGGAGCCTCGGCGAGTTCTTGTAAAGACAAGACCGACAGCTGGGCAACACATCCTATTAACTGCTGGTCATCTACCGTATCCATTTGAACGGATGAAAGAAACAGAAGCTGCATGAGTTTTTCTACTTCCGACTGTTTGGACTCAGAGGCCTCAGAAGAAACAGGCAGGGACTCCATTTCTAAATTTCGGCAAATCGTAGTCAGGCAGTGTTTGGAGAATTCGACAATGAAGAGATATACGAAGACTCAATTTTATTAAGAACAAATGAAATTAACGGAAAAACAAAAGGTACACAGCCATAGTCATGCAGGCAAGTGAGGTGACAAAGTGCAGTCTTATGCCAATTACGGCGGATTTGTACAAAATGCCCCAGAAACCCTTGTTTTCAGAGAATAACCACGATCGAAGCTTTGGAACGCGACGCATATACGCACAAGTGCATATTACTAGGAGTCCAATTGCAAGGAAACCGTCGAAACTATACGCGCTAACCATTTCCAAAAAAACTATTCATTCGCGCATGTGCACAGTAAGGCTCACACAAACTTAATACGTCGCAAAGTTCAGACATGCCCAAGTTAGCGTAAGGTAGATGACTAACTTGACAAATTTTCCTGAAGCAGACCTTCACGGATCTGAAACGATGAGTTTGTGATGCAGGACTGTAGATGGGGTCACAAAGGGGTGAAACGGCAAGTTCTTCGGACGTAATCAGGCTTTCTCAGGGAAGTTCACTTTTGTTTATTGGAGAGGAATGTGGCTGGTGCGCCTTCGAACTCCGTTTGTTACACGGTAGGTAAGACTACCAAAACAGCTGGAAAACAAAAATATCAAAGAGTTAGAGAAGAACTATTGGTACCGTACATGCAATCGGATTATTCCAGGTGTGATAAACACTGGTACGGTAACCCATCCATGGATAATTGTGCTATAGAAGAATTAGTATGATTTTTTATCTGAGGGAGCCGATGTGAATTCCCGTATTCGCATGCAATGCTCCGAGACAATATCTTAGTCTAAAAACAAACGTTGCTGAAATATACACAGTAATGTTATAACATGAGTAAAGTTATGAAATGGAACATAAAGATTATATTGGTCAGGTGAAATTGTGATGTGTAGTGTAATACCGACTCAGCCTTCGTTTAAAAGTCTCAACGGATGTGGACATAACGATATCTGCAGGCAGAGCATTCCAAGCCCCACCCACTCTGTCAGAAATAAATTTCCGTGTGTCCAGCCTGGCGCCAGTCAAATTTGCTTTGAGTAGATGACCCCTGTAGTTCGTTGTGGTTGCTAACTTAAAGAAGTCTCCAAGTAAAAGACAGCTGTCCTGACAGCTCATGGTACAGAATGTTTGCATCAGTTCGCCTCTTAGCTCCCTGTAGACCTGGGAATAGTGGCCGAGATAGGATAACCGTGTTTCGCAGGGTAGTGTACGCTGTCCTCTAACGAGTTTGACTGCAAACCTCTAAACTTCCTCAAGGATGCTGAGGCCTTTGGCGGTCAAGGTTTTCCACGTTTGGATAACGGACTCCTACTGCGGCCGCACAAACTTCCAAAAGACTTTAGCGAAGCAGTCTTTATTGAAAACAGAGAAACCCCGCTTGACATGGCACAGGACTGACATAGCGGACTTGGCTAACTTGAAGCAGTACAGCGACGGTTTAAGTGAAGCCGTAACGAGTCAATCACTGGAGGTCACGTAAGCCCTCTCTAGCCCGCCATCAACATGATGATAGCGCCTCGCCATTGACTGCTGCCCTTAAACCTGGTTGGTCTGTGCACACGAGAAAAGTATCAGCTCGTCCGGACTTTTCTTCTCGAAGCGCACTGGACCAAATACCAGCCAACCACTCTAGGATATTTTAAATACACGCTATTTCTTCAGAAAGAAGGACTGCCAGTTTCCTATTACAGTTTTTCGTGGCCGGTGATGTTCTCCCTCTCTGTCGCGTTAATATTAGGGATAACAGTTGGGTGCGCATACGCCTCACATGATTTCTAAGGACCAGGCTGGGTCATAAAAATTTGCCGATGCAGTGTCCCAACAAAAGAGGCTGGCGAGTACGCGGACTTGAAACGGATGTTGCAACTGCAGCTAAAGCTGACGGAGACTCTGACAGTTAAGCAATCCAATTCATTCATGGACCAATCAAGCTTGACTGATGATTCACAATTCGTTGACCACACTGCCGGCAGCATCACTGAATTTCGTCCACTTACTGTCCATGCCTACCTACAGTGCCTGTGGCCGTTACCTGCTGGCGATGGGAGAACTGGCGATTGAGGAGAGCCAACCAAGGACGTTTGGAGAAGCTAACCAACGAACGCGCAGACCGAAGACTGGAAGGTATTACTCTGTACTTTGTCCATTTACTCTCCATGCCTACCGACAGTGAATGTGGCCGTTACCGGCCGGCCAAAGAGGGAGCTGTCGAATGAGGAGAGCCAACCAAGGACGTTTGGAGAAGCTAACCAACGAAGGCGCAGACGGAAGACGTAAAAGGAAGACTCCATACTCCCTCCATTTACTGTCCATGCCTACCTACAGTGAATGTGCCATTGTCTGCTGGCGATGAGGATACCCTCTACCAAAAAGGGGATGCTCAAGTTGATAGGGGGTACGGCAATGTATTGCAAGCGTGTAATCGCATACCCTTTTGTAGTACACCAAACTGTTGAATGTTACTGATGTGGCAAGCCGGCTGCCCAAGGCAGTCGGGGACGATTTTCCGTACTACGCTGTATGTCTAGTATATTGTTCCTTTTCCTTATTCGGAGTAAATGTTGCATTTTTCTATGGCATTGTTCTTGGTTACGGTGCTGCTAAGCCTCCGGAATGAGAGAAGGTGTGATACGCAGTTGAGTAAATTTCAACCACAGGGCTGCTTTAGCTGATAGGTGCCTATGGATCAATAATGGAAGAGTTGAACGGACGTTGTCTGTGGGATGGGCAGGTATCTCTAGCAGTGGTAACGGAGCCATCATCGCACGCTAAGGATTGCGACTGATTGACCACCCTGGAGGCTTGGTATGTGAACATGTTTACAGACGTAGAATAATGCAATGACGTCCACTAAGCCTCGTCGATAAACCCTTATGGGGCAGGAAGGGCGTAATTACGGAAGGCCTTTAGAGCGGGAACAGGGAGGTGCGAAGAGACTGTCTTAGGCCGCAGCCGGCCACGGTAGACGGTAAGTAGGAATCGGTGTAGCTGGTAACTGGTGACGTGAACCACCCGCGGGGTAGGGCATAGCAGGTCAACTAACAAAGCCGGGTGGGAGGAATAGCAGACTGTGAAACAGGCGGAAGTGGGAACAGCCGGTAAGGGAATTGTCGAATGCGGTAAGCTTGCCTAAAGGGGAGAGGGACTGCCGGGATTGATGTTGGGACGGCGTAGGTGACAGGCCTTTGGAAAGGGGGAGGGGGAAAGGCGTGGGCTAGGCGGTGAGGGAGCGGTAGGGGTGTATGTAAATACCGCAGTGGTCTAAGAGCCTAAAGCCTTTGGTAGCATCTGCCCCAAGTTGAAGTCTTATGTTTGGACGGCGTTGTCTGTAAGCCTTTGGGTGGGGTGGGGGGTGGGTGTTGCAGAATATGGGGAGGGAGTGCCGGAGATTCATGTACACGCCCGGAAGTGGGTGCCGGGCTAGAAACGTTAGTAAACAGCCGACGTAAGTGGTAGTCTGACTGACGAAAGGGGAATGCTGGCACCTCAGTTAGGTGGACTCCGGAATGCGTTGGAGGGGAGGTAAGTGGACCATGATCTGAAACCGAAAAATGATGGCGGGAAACTGCACGTAAACCACGAAACCGCCAACCCCGCAGTTAACGGCGCAACTGCCGCGCATGCGAACTGCCCAGAGGTGGTTTAGGAAAGGAGAAGTTTGTGTGCGTAAGGGTATAAAAGTGGCATTGTATATTGGACGTAAATTTTAGGCAACAGAGTATGGGAACTCCACGTAAACCCTACCGAGTCTGTTCGGTAGGTGTGTTTGAGGATTTTTTCTGACCGTGGAGGCCGCAGGTCTTCTATCACGGCTACCTTACGTACTAATGCTTGTTCAGTAGGTGTGCTTGGGGTATTTTTTTCCGCCGCGCGAATAGCCGCGCCGCCTGACAAAATAATTCGCTGGTATCTAGGACGACTAGAAGTTACTCAGGGACTTTGATATTCTGAAAGCGGCTCAGTCGTTCCTTCATATATTTCATGCCGTCTGTAATTTTATTTAACGCGACTTTATTTTCGACCATTTCGTTTTTAATATTCGCTACATTTCATCGCATAGAGTCCGAGGTATCTGTTACAATCTAGAAAGCGATCATATACTTACGTATAAACGACATTCATGGGCACACGGCAACTTTTCAGCAGCACGACCATGATCGATACCATATTTGAAAGAAAGCCTGCTGAAATGGCCTTGCCACTTAGAATTATTGCTGGCTGTCTTTATAGTTTCAACCAAAGACCGGCAAAGCGCGTCAAAAGTGTAATCACGGCAAAGCTATTGGGTACGAAGACGACTCTTGCGCTGAATGCTCATGTATCCTTCTAAGAACACAAAAATTCTAAAACGATCCAATTACTTTACGAAAACTCTTGCAAGACAACAATGGCATGCAAAAGGCAGTCAAGAGCGCTAGAGTTAACAAGACAATGGCAAAGAGCCAAACTCCAGAACGGCCAAAAAACAGTTTGTGAAAAATGTCAGTGTTCGGACGCGCATGCCCACAACGGTGGGAGAATAACAACCCAGTCCCTTGTTTCTACGGAAGACAACCGAGGCGAATCATCAACTTCGCTCAGCCATACCGCGTGCTCATCAGAGCCCTTCGATAAATATATAGTGTTTTTAGGAAATCCTCGGGATACTAGGAAAGTAAGTAAAGATGCATTTTCGAGTGAACATTCATTCTTAGACGATTTCTAAAGATATCACTGGTCGGGGTAGCCTATTAGCTCCAAAACAAGTTTTAAGATATTTAGAATGAGAAAATTCCATTTGTCATGTTGACCTCCACGCGTACAGAGTAAGCAGTTCGGCAAGGAGGCGACACCAAACGCTTCAGCGGTCATCAAAGCATGGGGAGATGTGACTGACCAAAATACTACCAGAAAACGTGACGCGGTCGATTATCCCCGCGTTCTATTGATCTCGTAGTTTATCAATGG